TAGAACAGGTGTGCCGCTTATCACTACGGGTGTCAATCGCAGTAATTTGGAAACGGACAGTGGACAATCACATAGCCCCCCTCACTTAAGAACTCTCGCTCAATAACCGATAATGTCATCTGCTGCCAGCCCCCATCACCCGCTGCTATCATCTGCTGCCAACCCCCATCACCCGCTGCTATCATCTGCTGCCAACCCCCACCATCCGCTGCTGTCATCTGCTGCCAACCCCCATCACCCGCTGCTATCATCTGCTGCCAACCCCCATCACCGGCTGCTATCATCTGCTGCCAACCCCCACCATCCGCTGCTGCTTCATCTTGCTTGCCAACCCCCATCACCCGCAGCGAGAGTTCTTAAGTGAGGGGGGCTATGTGATTGTCCACTGTCCGTTTCCAAATTACTGCGATTGACACCCGTAGTGATAAGCGGCACACCTGTTCTACGAAGTCGAAGCATTCTCATGCGGAAATCAATCAGTGCACCTGTTGTATATAAAAAATCTGCCCCAAGCACACAGGAGCGTGGTAAATCTTTGACAATGAGCAGCTTAACTCTAATCTTACGAGTTCCAATCCAAACAGGCAGCATCGCCGCTCCCACAATGGAAAGATGATGCCCCGATGCTGACAACAGCACTTTGTGGTGAGTAGGCAAAGAAGATTCTTCCCGCAGAGACTGAGGAAGGCTGAGCCAGTGTTTATAGGCTAGGATTGTTGCGTCAGCTCCAGAATCAACTAATGCCGTCAAGGTCAAGCCTGCTATCCTCACAGCGCAGTGTGGCGCGCTGTGTGGTTGGGTATTAATAGACGAAAAAACATACGGAAAAGCAGGAGCGTGCGATTTGCGGCTTGCTGCGCGAAATCTCCTTATTGACGCGCGCCGCTGCCGTTTCCCGCCGTGCGAGGGCAGTAGCGTGCCATGTGTCCAGTCTGGTTACAGTGAGTGCAGCGTGTCCACGTGCTGGCCGCTGCTGGTCGCTGAGCATTGAAGGGGAACGGCGGACACTGCGCTGACTGCTGTGTATATGGGTCAACGCCCCGCTGAGCCGCACGCGTGTCTTGTGATGGGTGCGAAATGGGTGCGGCCACAACCCGCTGCTGTGCCGCGATCGCTTGTGCATTTGCCGTGACCATGTCTCGCAACTCGTTAATATCTCGCCGAATGAGCTCGTAACTCGATACCTGTTTAGCGGGACGTCCAGCGCGCGGTTCCTGTACGCGCTGGTCATGCGTGATCTCTGCATATTCCAACGCAGAACCATCGTCCGCTGTAGGGGGCGGTTGGGTGCCACGAGACCGCTGCATTGCGGTTAATTCGGCCTCTTCGCATGCTCGTGATACACAGAGTTCCACCGCGTGTTTTAACGAGGCAGGCTTAGCCTTTATTATTACTCTTTGTGACGATATTTGTGTCAGCCCATCCCTAAAAATTTCGAGTAGTCTCTCTTGAAACGCAGGCTGTGAGGTATGCGTGTTCGGGTAGGCACACCCTGCAACCTGCTGTAGTCGACGAGCATAATCACGTATACTTTCGCCCCGCGTCTGGCAAAACGTTTTTAACATTGATTGTGCTCGCGGGACTTCAGATGGCGACTGGAATTCGCGCTTAATGAGGACGAGTAAATCTGCCCATGTTAACTCAGGTCTCGCTAGTAACTGCTGTTGGCCGAATCGCGCGGCGTGTCCCGTCAGCGTTGAAAAGGCAGCGGATAGAAACTGTTTATCTGTTAGGTGAAGCTGCAGCTGCGCCCACTGAAGCGCTGCCTCCCACTGAGTGAATGATGTGTCAAGTGGCCCCGTTGCTCCCGAGAATTTTGGCAGTGTCGCGCGAAATTCCGCCGCTCGCATCGATTTATCTACCGCTTCGCCGAGCGATTCTAAACTTGGACGCAGCGCCTGTCCAAGCATATCTGCCAGTTCATTAACGGTAGGCGGCGGGCAGATCGAAGGTGAAGGTTGAGGTTGAAGGGGGGTACGCGGTACGTTAAAGTGCGTCTCTGATACTGGATTTATATTCGGCATATCTTCATATTGAATATCTGATAAATCGCCAACCGTCGGCGTCAATTGGTCCATGTTTAAGTAACGTTACAAGAGTCAGAGGCAACAAAAAGCAATCTTATCTACTGGTCAACTCACGCGGAAACATAAGAATATTAGATACGATTTATAGCAAGAAAAAAAATTTTGCCGGCAAAACTGTTCGCTTACCCGAGAAATTGTTGGCTCATCCTCGTGCAGTTCAGTGAAACGGCCGTGAAGCGTATAGCGGTAGCACCCCGCGTTGTGTCGAATCCTTGTCTACGGCCCAATGTAGTCGCTGGGTAATTCTGCTGCCAGACAACTGTGCGCTTATAGGTGACTGCTATATATGCGCCGTGTAATTGCTTGACTAATTACGAATACGATAATAAAATAAGAGTAGAAAGGATGTGGATTTCAAACGGCCGTTTCACTATTGAATACTTACAAAATTCACACAAGCAACACAGGGTAGAATACGGGTTTCACAATACACATATAATCACTTAACACAACAGAGGGGTGAGTACACGAGAGCCCCGTTTCTTCCGTGCGAGCTCTCTTATACCTCCCTTCGTCAACGGAGCCGTGAAACCCTCCCCAAATATGTTTCTCCCTATCACTGCTGACTACAGGGATAGTAGAGGGGTGGAATTACTGTCTGCGGTCAGTTTGTGGAGTGGGATAGAGTAGATGACCAATGGCGAGTATTGAGTGGAGATGGGTTTACGCCCTCCTCCCTTCAGGCACGTGGGTGCTTCGTAGGTGGCATGACGTATGACGTATGACGTATGCTGTTGATGCGGTTACCGTAATTAAATATTTAACAGCTGTGTAGAAATAACTTTAGGCTAATGTGTGGATTTTACCGGCCGACATCTGACCGTACTCCGGCAGTGTCGGCCCCCCCCTTATGTGTGTATCTAAGATATTATGTGTTGCCAGCTAAACCCGCACTATAGACAGTGATGACGCTAATGTGTGCGGTCAGTGTAGAACAGCTGTTTAGTAGCTGTTGTAAAACAACGTTGTGCTAATGTGTATGTGTGTTCTTCGCCGACCGCTAACCCAAACTAATGTTGTGATGCAGCTAAGGCGTGTGTCTAAGCTGTTATTCGTTGAAAGTTGATCCGTACTATAGGCAGTGATGCGGCCAACATGTGTAGGTTGTAACAGAGCTGCGCCTATCTACGTGTGTATCTATTGCGTGTGGAACTAATTTTACCAGTTGTTTGTGTGTCCGGCCGATAAATCCGTCTCCTTGCCAGCTGGTGTGGTGTAAGATTATGTTTGTGTTGATGTTCTGCTGCCGGTTATAACCTAACCTCAGCTTGTGTGTGAGCTGGTATTAAATGCGTTCGCGGAGTGATATTAGCGTTGCTACAATATATATATATATATATATATATATATATATATATGCATATGCATGCATACGGTGCCATGGAAGACGGCTGGATGACGTCTAGCTTTTAGTCTATCAGTGTGGTTACCGGTTTTAGTACGCGTGTTGTTCCCATATGATTATTATTGTTTGCTTATTATCAGTTGCTATTGCTGTTTCTTTCGTGTTTACTGTTTCCTTGCTCGCGCGCATTAGTTTTAGTAAGTGGATCTATATTTGGGGCAATATTAGCTACCCTTGATATTATAATGTGCAAGTGCCAATGTGATGTTTTTAATTTTAACCTTTAAACTATGCAGTGAAGAGACTGTAAGCTTGTGTTTTCACTTTTACCAATGTATCGTTGTTAAATAAATATAAAAAACGTTATATTTTTATATTGTACATCCCACTTTATATCCAAACAATTTTCTTCAGCACCCAGGGGAATGTTTGATGATACAAAGAACACAGTCATAGTACAAGTGCATACGATAATTAAGTACAGTCAGCAAGTTATAATTTGTGACAAGCATGCAGAATTCCCTAGCATGGAAATCATCAAATCAATTTCCCTTGCTGTCTGGCAGGCATGTAATTCATTGCTTGACAGTGCAAGATTACTAAAACAAAGAACAGTTGCTATACATGAAAGATATAATACATGTATCATCGATGATGCCACTGTAAGTTTGGAGAGACACAGTGGGAAGATTGGAAAACTAGAACTCATCGTGGAAGGGATAGTTGGCATCATGCTTTACACTGAAAGTAAATCGAAAAAGAAATTACAATAATTATGATCATCATCATCAGTATCATCATCATCATCATCATCATCGTCATCATTATTACTATTATTACTATTATTATCATGATTCACTTGTTAGAGATCCTCTATTTTACCCATGAAGTAAATGCCAGTGTAGACAGCTAATAGGTCAATATCCAACCTGCTACTCCAATGCTATCTGTACTCACTTATCGAATGTAAACACCCGTTTTCCCGAGTGCATTTCTGAAATGGAGTCCATCTCTGCAGCATTGAGTGCAAAGTCACATATGTCAAAGTTAGACTTAATGCGGGCGGGCGTAGCACTTTTGGGAATTACAGCAATTCCACTTTGGATTAGAAATCGCAAGCACACCTGCAAACGTATTAAACACAAACACGCCTATAAGCAAGACAAACCTAACCACAACAATAGACAAGTTGAATGTACAGATATTTGCGCAAAAATTAATCATAAACACAACTGTAAACATATAATTTGTACGCTCATCAGTAAATAGATGCCACCCTTATAAACAGATGCTGGGTATGTTCACTGAATTTACCTGAGAAGGGAGTTTGCCATGTCTCTCACCGATGGACTTCACAACTGAATGCTCTAGCATGTTCTGAAGGCCAATGTCACTTTTGTCAGGGCTGAAACGTGTAAAGAAGATAGAAGTAAATTCACAGGTACAACACACGGCCACACACCCATACCCTACACAGTAACATATATGCCACCACCACTTCACTGCCAGTTTGGCAACAAAGCAAAAAGGAATCACGATTGAGTTACAGCGCTAGTGCGTAATTAACCTCACTTTTGTAATGTACTTCAGGCTTTCAGATTTGAAAAGTACAGGAGGACTACTAATTAATGACTCCCCTAGAACACCATAGGGGGACTTTTCACGCTCCATAATCACACCCTTAAGAGGCATGATGGAGAGCTCCATTAAAAAATCACACCCTTAAGAGGCATGATGGAGAGCTCCACTAAAAATCACACCCTTAAAAGGTCTGCCATTGTTTTAAGATACGACGAAGGGTGTATGAAAGCTGCATTCTCATTGGCTACTGAAACAAGAGTTGGGCTAGAATAGATACTCCAGTCAGGGCTCGCGATCCATTGCAACTCTGTGGACAGGGAAAACTAGCCTCAAGGCCACGCGTGACGCGGCAGCTTTTGATGTACACGATCGATCGATCGCGTACTATATATACGGCCTGCGTAGCACGCGCGGCATACACAACCACACACACTTGCAGCGTCAAATAAACGCACACACTGGCTAACGTCTGACAATCTCAAACAGTGAACTAAGCCGTGTCTATATTTTAAAGCAAACTATATTACAATGGTATTAAATGAAGGTACTGTTAGTAGGCTGTTGGACTGTAAAATGAAAATTTGTACATTCTAACCCCCCTAAAATTTTCTCTCAACGGATTTAGACGTTTCACAAAATCGACCCTGGGACTGTGAAATCCGCGGATTTACGCGGATCCGCGGAAGATTCTCATCCCTGTAAAATGGAGCGCTATTTCAACATAATACACAGACTTTTGGTGCGCGATTTCAACCACTTTTATGAGGCGCAATGATGCGCGCACCATGGCACAATTTATGGTGCGCGGTGGAGCGCGAGCGCGATCGCGCCCCTTAAAAATGAAAGCCTGTACTTAGAAGATATCCTTTTATTCGATCGATGATCGATTAGGGAATCAATTAATCTACTCCAGAAAATTATAAATTTTGTGAGGGTCACCCCTTTGAAAGGCTAGTATCTATAACAGTATCAACAGCTAGCAAACATGGGAGAGCAAAGGCAAGCACTTGTTTCTTCCCGGTGATCCGAGGCAGCCATAGGAAATCATAACAACACCGCGCTCTGCCATGAAACTCTGCAGCTTCTTCTGCTGCTGGTAGATGTGGCATTCCACCTACAGATGAAAAATACCCATGTTGACAGAATTCGAAGTTCGAAGTCAACACGACAATGAAATAATTTCTGAATATCATTTTATATTGTTATATTATTTACTCCTCTATTATCCCCCTATCTTCCAGAATCCCATATTAATTCCCTGATAATTAATATTATCATTAATGATTAATTACAATAATTAAGCATAAGTAATTATGTAACTTCTAATTAATTAATTACCACTACCATCCTGTAATGATAGTATAATTATTATTAATAATTAATAATAATACAATAATAATTAATACTATCAACAAGCCTATAAACGAGAACAATGGATATGTTATTACTTTCAATGAAAAAATACCCAGAGAAAATTTTACTGCGAACTATGCACAGCTTTCATTATAGTATCAAACAGTAATATTTTGGAAACATTTATCTCACACGAGCACAACTGTAATCTCTAACCCCATTCGAAGCTTACAGTGCAATTTCTGAGTTAGTGTAAGCTGTGAGCCCTTCCCCACTATTGCATGCCCTGCAGAGACAATGATCGAATCGTACATGCTTACCTGGTTGACTACAGGTCTTATACGAGCATTATCCAAAACCAGTTGCAGTTGCTTGCTGTTGAAGTTAGATACCCCGATAGCCTTAGTCAGGCCTTGATCCATGCAGGTCTCCATTCCCTATGGTATCAGTTAATAAAGCATAAGAATATGTACCAGCATGTGAACTGCTATACATCTTCTCCTGAGGTACATCTGCAAAGATTGCAGATTGGCTTTTTCGACACCTTACTGATAACTAGCATAAGGTTGCCCAGCACTACCTGTGCTTGATTATTGCTAGAAACCAAACACCTTCTACCACAAAGACATTCTGCTTTGTATGCCACACATGGCAAAGATGAAAATCGTCCCGACAGGCATGTTGGAGAGAAATTAAGATTGCAGTGCTATCGTAGCAGCTGATTGTTCGGCTTTTGCCTGCACAGCTAGATTCTGTAAAGAAATGGCCAGACTTGCACGTTTTTAGACTACCAAGTTCTCACAGATTATTATTCAGTCAATGACCTCAATATCAGAACAAAAACATTATAGACTACACAGTGCTAAACGTGGGCTTGCCGTTAGCAAACTTGGCAGCTAAAGGCAAATAAGCTATAGCATTTCAAAGATGGAAGCAAACAGAAATTCTGTACAATCATTATCTCTGTCTATAACCATTTAACTTCCCATGATCAGTGAAGTAATGGCAACTTGTCTCACCTTCCAAACTTGAGCAAGGTCACAGGGCACTGTCATGCATTTTCCATTAACAGTGGGAGAAGTGTCCCCCTCCACTTTCTGCAGAAACGAAACATATTGGTTGGTTTTCAGATAGATGGCAAAGTTATAACAATAACTAATTCTATTATAATACAAGATTAGCACAGACAGACACACCTCGCAGTTGTAAGCTAACTTACAATAACAAGAAATTTAGTACTTGTTACCACAATGCTGGTGATTGGATAACAATTGATCACAAATGCTCAAATTCAAATACATCTATTGTGTATAAGTGGAACACATGCAGATTATGATTACGTATTATATATATAATAACTAAAGACAAAATCGCATGATTACGTTTTCATTCTGCTTTGCAAGATCGCAAAAAGGACTCGGGATGTCGAATTTGGGGGGTCAAGGGTCAAAGGTCAAGATGTGTCAATGGAGGGGAGCGCCCGGTCATTTACCTGCAAAATAAAAATGCAAATACGCAACTTTTTCAGGGTGGCAGCACGGTCGCGGGTGTCATGGCGCCGTTCAAATTTCGTAGCGTTGATGTGTAAATAATAATTAAGTATCTGGTGACAAATACATGTGGGTATAGACGATTTGTTATACAGTAAGTACAGTGTATGCAGTAAAATCCTAGAGGTTACTGTCCCTTTAAGTTACACAAGATTAGCGTTACATTACATTGAATTGATGTTATGTTTGATACTAGCGCAGGATACCCGGCGTTGCCCGGGAAATAAAGCACTGTTGGTGACCACTTG